ACTCGCTGCGATCGAGCCGGGAGCCGCGTGATCAATCTCCTCACCTCGCCGGGGAGTGTGCGCACTGGTTGCGTGAGACTGAACTGGGACGCAACTGACGATTCCGATGGCTGGCGATCGACTGAGAATTCTGCGCGGTCACAGTTTAATGCTTAAAAGAAGCAGTTAGCTTACTCTGTCCATTCGCACGTTCCAATTTTACCTCTCACTCACATCCACTCCAAGGAAACAAATTCAGGGTGCGCAGAATATTTGTCATTTATTGGGCGCAGTTGCCGGATGTTGTTATAAGTATCCAGTTCATCGAATTATGTTTTATTCATAGACATACTATTTCCTCATTTCGACTATTTAACATACATATTGTATTTCACTAATCATTATCCAATTAAAAGTTCCCTATACATGAAATGTTTGTGAAAATAAATAGGAACAGCTATTCATACACTTTTACGAGACCAAATACGTGAAAACAGCTACCTACATCAGGCAACATTGTAAGATCGTCAACATAACATAACCTAACATTTTAGCTTAGCGTCTTCCTGTTTCTTTGTGAATCTACGTCTGTTTGTTTCACGAGTTTTGACTGTTTATTCTGTATTCTAGTTATTGTGAACTGAATTTGGAATATAGTTCCATTATCGTCAATTTCGAACAATGGATGAAGTTACGAAAACTGTGCATTATTGTTGTGTGTGTCGTAGGAATTTAAGGCATAATAGAAACATTTTTTTTTTCGTTTTCCTAAGGATGCTAAACGGTAAATACAACAGTTGCATTGGAAACCCATATACCTAGTGATAAATACATATTTTCAGGTTTGCAAATTGGAAAGATATTCTTCAACTGGACAAACTTACTTCTCATAGTGCTGAGTACTGCTACAGTCACTTCAGAGTTTGCAGTTTTCATTTTGAAGAGAAGATGTTTGCAAGCATCCAGAAAAACCGTCTTCCTTCCTATCAGACATTAATGAACCTAGTCCTTATAATAATTGTTCTTCACAGGGCCATCTCTATGTTCACAGTCAGTTGAGGTAGAACCATCTTCATCTACTACTACATCTTGTGGAAATTTTTACAAAGAGTATCAAGGTATTTATGTATTATATTCATTGAACATTCTCTAATTTCATATTCCTGTTTGAATCTATCTATTACATAGTTCTGAAGATTAGATAAATTTCATGGAAATCAACTGATTCATAAAATTGTGCATGGTGTGTGAAAGATACCTATCTATTTTGTTGCATGAATTTGATGTTCACTGAACAGTAGTTTATAATTTTCACTTAGTTAATATACCAATGTGATTGATACTTGACTATAATTTTCTTCTTTAGAAACCAAGACAGTTGAAGAACCTGTTACACCTATCACATCAACTGAGAACTTCATAAGCCAAGGCAATACTTCGAAAGAATGGCATTGATCGCTCAGATCAAATCATGAGCTACTATTCAACTTCAAGAAAACCCATTAGATGATATCGAAAGACTTTTTATCATTCATCAGATATTTCGCTGTACAATGCCTATTATATCTACAAAATTATTAATGATGCCGAATGTCAATTTTTGCGATGTCAAGCGATGTCAACAATGTTCCAAAAATAAAATGAGAAAAAAGTCTAGTTACCAATGCCCTATGTGCGATGGAAGCCCAGGTCTATGCATCCATCCTTGTTTGATGATGATTTGATGATTTGAATTCGAAGATTTGTTTGTATTTGCTCAAAAATGATTATTTTCATTCAAGAAGTCTTCGCTCATTATTGGCCATTATAGTGGCCATTGGTAGAGCAGGGTTATACAGGGTGTTTCCTAACTACGGTTCCTAACTGCAGGGGGTTATTTGTTAGGTCATTTTAAGAAGAAAAGTTACCATGAAAATATGTCCGGAGTTGCTTCGTTTCTGAGATACAGGGCGTTGAAATTAAAAAAAAAACGGTAATTATTATAAAATATCATGAATATCCTGGAACCGATTTGATTGAAATTTGTTACTTTTATTCGTCAAATTTTCTAAAATTTCAGCATATCAAGTGTCAATTATATTTTTGGCGGAAATAATGAAAAACTGATTTCTCCAATGCAGGTGTTCATGATATGCAATACAATGGCTTTGATTTTTTTTCTCGAAAACGAAGCTGGATATGAAGAAAATACAGGAGACCAAAAAGTTGTATTTTGAGTTGCTTAATCTTAAAAAAAATTAGAATTCACCAAAAAAAGTCAGTAGCATACTTTTTATCACAATATTGTTGGGTGTGGTGCCCACTGAGACGCCACTGGATCCAATAATTCCAATCTAAATAGGGCTAAATAATCGCCTTATCAGTTCAAATAAAAGTACCAAATTTCAACCAAATCGGTTCTAGGATAGTCATGATATTTTATAATTACTGTTATTTTTCCGGCCTGTATCTCAGAAACGAAGCAACTCCGGACATATTTTCATGGGAACTTTTCTTCTCAAAATAACCTAACATATCACCCCCTGCAGTTAGGAACCGTAGTTAGGAAACACCCTGTATATCTTCAAAATTGACCAGTGGCCACTATAGTGCCTCAAGTTCACAGTTGTGAAGGACACATCTAAACTTACTGATAATTATTCATGTATAAGTTTCATGCTGATTTGTTGATCCGTTCACAATTTATCCACTGCGGTACAGCAGGATAGAACTGGTGAAAGTATTGTTGGTACTCAACGTGTTGAGTCACCAAAGATACGATTTCAGGTAAAACTAGTCAAATTCGGAATTCATATTCAGCAAAAGAAGTAGGGAAAGAGTAACTTTGAAATCTATTCATGGTACTGAAATCACATTATACACATACAGTTTGTTTCGAGGAAAGGTGGCTCCATTCCTAGAATAGGTAGAACTATAATTTTGAAACTTGGTGGTTTTAAACAGTGGAATGTGGTGTTCATTTTTTATATAAGAGGGTTTTATTGCAATATCGCATTTCCGATCACGTGACATCAACTTCAAAATTTCAAATGGAACACCATGTATATTATTGCATTTTCGTGAAGTCCTTTCTTATACAAATTCTACGATACCATAATTGTCAGCGGTTTTTCGGCACTACAGTTAAGATAAATAGGTTTTTATGAACATTTCTGTATTTTTATTCAAAAAACGTGATAGCTTAGGAAGAGAAAAAGTATCCTAGCAACAGAAATACATCGCACTTGTCAAGGGCTGTCAATCAGTATCAGTAGATTGGCTTTGTGTAACAAATAGTATCAAGACTAGTATGCCTTTATATTTTACTTACGACGAGTATGTCAATATGCTGCTCATATACGGCGAGTGTCGAAAAAATAGTAGGCGTGCTCGAGACTTGTACAGAGAACGTTTTCCCGACCGAACAACTCCAAGTAAAAATACTTTCGCTTATGTGGAACAGAAATTAAAAAATGGTTCTTTTCCTAGTGGAAAACAGCAAATTCCACGCAGAAAGCCTATTCAAACAGAGGATAACGTAATTCATATTCTGGCTTATGTTCAAGTACACCCACATATCTCAACTAGATGTCTTGAGCAAGAATGTGGAGTAAGTAGAACTACAATCCAGAGAGTATTAAAGAATCATAATTATCATCCTTACAAAATACATTCAACACAAGGTTTGACCCTGAAAGAAAACTAATTTTTATAGCTGAAATGACAGTGAAACTCGCATATGACCCATTATTTTTAAATAAAATATTGTAGACTGATAAAAGTCGATTTCACAACAACGGTACTGTAAATCGACACAATTGTCACTACTGGTCGGCTGAAAATCCGAAATGGATGCGAGAAACTAATTTCCAGACAATATGGGGTGTAAATGTCTGGTGCGGTTTATTCAACGGCCGCTTGATTGGGCCGTATTTGTATCAAGGAACTTTGACCGGCGAAAGGTATTTAGATATTCTCCAGAATATGCTTCCCGCTTTACTTGAAGATATTTCCTTGAACGAAAGAGAGACGATGTGGTGGCAGCAGGATGGTGCACCTCCTCACTATGCCCGGCAAGTTACGACATATCTTAATAATACTTTCCGTGAAAAATGAATTGGGCGAAATGGCACAATAAGAGAGATGACACACACAGCGGTTTGTGCCGAGACGGCTGCCGAGTCGGCACATGTTTCTGTTTTCAAATATGATGAGAAAAGGCCGATTCTCACTAGGAGCGGTGCTGCGCGGCGCGGCGCGGCGCGGTGCGGCGCGGCAAAAGTCGCTTGCAATTATTTGCTTGTAAATAAGTGATCCCGTCCTCACCTAAGCAGAGCGGTGCAGAGCGGTGAGAAGCGGTGCAGAGCGTTCATCGCACAACGCCTCCAGGAGCATTGGCACGCGGCACTACCGCTTTGCAACGCTCCCTACCGCCTGTTGACGGACAAATGTGAATCACGTCGCGTCAAAAGCAAGCTGCGACTTGTTCAAAAAACAATTTCAGAGTAGTGGTTGGAAAACGAAATAAATATGGACGCGGAAAAAATTGAGAGACTGATTTTATTAGTTAATGACTATAATGAACTGTACGACATGTCAAATAAAAATTACAGCAACCAAAATAGGAGGGATAATATTTGGTCAGAAATTGGGAAGAAACTTAATGAAAATGGTAAGTTCCCATTGCACTTATGTCTCAGAAGAACCAACTATGCAGAAATTCAAATATTATTTAAGGCCGATTCTCACTAGGAGCGGTGCTGTGCGGCGCGGCGCGGTGCGGCGCGGCAAAAGTCGCTTGCAATTATTTGCTTGTAAATAAGTGATCCCGTCCTCACCTAAGCAGAGCGGTGCAGAGCGGTGAGAAGCGGTGCAGAGCGTTCATCGCACAACGCCTCCAGGGGCATTGGCACGCGGCACTACCGCTTTGCAACGCTCCCTACCGCCTGTTGACGGACAAATGTGAATCACGTCGCGTCAAAAGCAAGCTGCGACTTGTTCAAAAAACAATTTCAGAGTAGTGGTTGGAAAACGAAATAAATATGGACGCGGAAAAAATTGAGAGACTGATTTTATTAGTTAATGACTATAATGAACTGTACGACATGTCAAATAAAAATTACAGCAACCAAAATAGGAGGGATAATATTTGGTCAGAAATTGGGAAGAAACTTAATGAAAATGGTAAGTTCCCATTGCACTTATGTCTCAGAAGAACCAACTATGCAGAAATTCAAATATTATACAGTAAAATGAATATATGTATGTATAATTTAAATTATTTAAACGCTATGCAGCTTCTGTATAGATCATTGTATCTTACCTGGTGTTTCTGTGATTTGTGACCCTACATTTATTAACAATTTTAGACCTGCTGATTTCTCTAAATCTACTGAAATGTCATTCCGAAAATTAATTTGCACATGAAAATACGGACTTCTTAATAATTAAATGAAGTTTTCAAATAATAATTTATTACTTTTCACAGAAACAACAAGTTTCGGAATACGGCATTCACAGTTACCTAACATTATGATTTACGAATTATTGAAACATACAGGGAATTTAACTACAGGTTAAACCAAAAAAAAAATATTATAGGACAGTATGATAGTACAGTATTACATATTTTTATTATCTAGCATAAATGGTGTATAAACTAGTGGTTTATTGTAACAAAATTTAAAATCCAAGTTGTTTACAATATACCGGCATTAACTGTATCCTGTTGCCAAGAAAGGGCACCTTCTGGAGACATAAAATATTCTTTAAAAATGCCCCTTACTTCGATTGCATCAGTCGAAAATTTTCCACCAATATGAGATAAATCTGATAAAATTGGCACGTCCTTTTCCATTTTTTCATCATCTAATACACATAGGAGAGCATTATCATTTCTGAGGAAGTTATGAAGACACAAAGTAGATAAAACAAGTGTATCTGCATTTTTGGGATGAAGTTGTAGTTTATTCAAAAAACTCTAAACTTTTGACACATAAGTCCGAAAGCATTTTCGGATACTCTGCGAGCTCTGGAAAGCCGATAATTAAACACCCTTTGATCTTGTGGTAGTCCACGACCTGAATAAGGTCGCATAAGGTAAGTTTTGCAAGGGAATGATTCATCCCCCACTATTACATATGGTACGGGTTTCCCATTATTTGTAATAGGACGATCGTCAGGCATTCCAAACGTTTTGCTTTTTAAACATTTTCCTATATTACTGTCACTAAATATTCCACCATCGCTGTTCTTCCCGTAAGCTCCAACATCCACAGCAACAAACCTATAGTCAGCATCTACCAATGCCAGTAGCACTATTGAGAATGTTTTTTTATAATTGAAGTATAACGACCCACTTCCTGGAGGTGCCTGCATGGTGATATGCTTTCCATCTATCGCAGCTACGCAATTAGGAAAATTCCAGAGGTTTTCAAATCTTTTTGCGCAGTTCTGAAGTAGTTCCGTTGTCGGTTGAGGCATGACATCATCTCTTAGAGTTTCCCAAATGACTTTACTAGTATGAGTTACAATATTTTGAATGGTGGAGTGTCCTATTCTGAAGTTAAATGATAGCGCCTGGTAGTCTGTTCCTGTAGCCAAAAACCTGGAAAAGATAAATTGAACAATAGAGTAATATTTTAAACCTTTTAGACTTCTTAACTATCGGGCCATTTGAGTTTTTTTTTTAACTGCTTTAACTTTCTAGTTTACTTAATAAATTGTTTAAGGCGATATTTGCAAGAAGAAGTGGAAAACACTTAGGGATGCTTTTCAAAAGGCTGCAAAAAGTATGCAAACAAAATCCGGGCAAGCTGCAACAATTAGCAGAAAATGGAAATATTGGGATGCGATGAGCTTTCTTTTGCCGCATATTAAAGGAAGGGAGTGAGTAGATTGTATATTGTTTCAAGTTGGTAGTTATCTTATCAAGAGTTCATTAATTGTAGGACGCAAACAAACGTTTGTAGTGACGAAACAGGTGAGAACTTCGAAGATGGAGATGAAATTGATTCTGAAAGCCATTTTGAACAAACCGAGGAAACCGAGGAACAAACCTTCGAAAATAATTATCATGAAAACCCGACAAGTCCATCCGTATCGCTGCCTACTACCCAACAGTCTTGTTCTTCAAGTGCAGTGAATGTTTCAAGACCAGTATCTCGTGTTGCAAGCGCAAAAAGTGACGCGGTTCCAAATAAAAAAAATAAAAGTGCACCTAGAACAGCGGAATCTATGCCAGAGATACTAAAAGAATATATACAAGAAAAAAAACGCAGCCGTTTAAAAAAACAAACTTTGGCAATTGCGACACAATCAACAGATAGTAAAGATAGCGCACTTCTAGAATTTTTCACAAGCATGGCGAAAACTACGTCCACATTTCCCCCATTATGGCAGGCTAAAGTAAAAAATAAGATCTTTGAAATAGTAAATTTCCATGAATTGGCGCTTTTAGAAGCTTCCTCAGCCTCACCGGCTCCACCACTAGTTACAGAAAGTCTTACACAACCTCAAACACAATCAACTGTACACACACAGCAGATGCATATTCTTCCAATGCAAAATCAGTCACCAGTGCAAAACCAATCAACCACCAATTCTTTACTTTGCTACAATAACGAGTCATTATTACACTCATTACAGCCTCCTTCAGCAGCATACTATTCATCATTCGCAGCTCAATTATCTGCTATTGAAAAAAGTTCTGGGCAAAATATTATGAGACCAACTACAGATGCAGGTTTAGATACGGCTGCAACTGACCTATCAAACAGGATGTGAAAATGAAGTACCAGACATTTCAATTCCAGATTTTCCGTTAATATTTTTTGACATTTTGCATAGTTTATTCGTTTATGTTACAACACATTAAGAGTTAATTTTTTATACTATAGTTTTAAATTATTTTGATAATAAACTATGCTAATTAAACCTTATTTATGATTTATTAGGTTTTCAACTTTCCTTATAAAGACAGTTAGCCTCTCAAGTGGACTGATGCTTTGACGAAATTTGGTATTTTGCTTGGTTAGGGGAATGCGTAAAAGATCATATAACTGATTGAATTTTCCTGAAGACATCCTGATATATTTGTAAAATTTACGTTCGTCCTGCTGCAGTCTCCTAAATAGTGTGTGAAATTCACCTTCTTCCAGCCTTGCACGAAATATGTCATGAACCCAATATTGTCGCTTCTTTTTTCTTCTATTTTCGTATTCATGACATATTGCCGCTACAAAAACCAAATCGTCTGATGATGACGATGTGGGATCCTCCTCCGGTATTACCAAACTCATTATCACTTCATTTAACAAAATAATTAAATATAGATTTCTACTGCTTCGCTCACCGCTGCTGCTACAAAATGCCGCTTAGGTGAGAATAGCCTGGACAAAAACTGCTTCGTCCAGTACCGCGCCGCGCCGCACCGCGCCGCTCGGCACCGCTCTAGTGAGAATCGGCCTAAACACACAGAGCGGCCAACGTCGCCTGGCGGCGAGAGAGCCGTCTCGACACGTCTTCTATCCGAAGGAACGCGTGCGGTTTTATTGCTGGAGCGGCGCTTGATTACATTGTTTAATACGAACCCTGACACACACATCGGTTTCACACGCGTTTTTTCACAAGAGCAGGCAAGCTATCGTTGCTTTTTAGTATTCAAAATGACTTCAGAGGTGTTGCGTGCAATCGAAGTGAATCTGGACATAGAGGAATTCATAACTGAAGTACATAATCGTCCTGCTTTATGGGACATGACCCATAAAGATTACAGTGACAGGATAAAAAGAAAACAGAGCTGGGAAGAAATTATAGAACATTTTGGGGTTGGGAGAGAACTCACTTTGGATGATAAAAACAAATTAGGTAAGTTTTATCATTTATTATTTATTTGTTAAACAAAGTCAGTGGTTTGAAAAATAGTGTGCATATTTATCTCTGATTGATAGTGCTCTGGCGTTTCCTCTATTGCGTGTAACAGGTTGTAAACGTTTGAAACCATGACTCTGTGGTAAATTATCACGATCTTCATGCTTTCCATCTCTTTTTCTCACAAAATTATGTAGTACGCAAGCAGCTTTGACAATACTATCAACAAAATCGATATCAACATCTATGGGCCTATGAAATATTCGCCATTTGTTTGCTAAAATACCGAATGTGCATTCAATGTATCGTCGGGCAATGGATAATCGGTTATTGAAAGTTTTTTTATCTTCTGCCAGTTGTTTTCCGCCGTACAGTCTTAGCAAGTTCTCAGACAAGGGAAAAGCTTCGTCTCCCAAAATTACATACGGAAATTTTTCAGTTGAATTTGGCAAGATACGTGGTGGTGGAATTCCTAATGAATTTTCACATAACTTATCAAAAAGAATGGAATTCTTAAAAATTCCAGCATCACTCGATTTGTCGTAAGATCCCACTTCTATGTACGTGAAACAGTAATTGGCATCACACATGGCGAGTAATACTGTAGAAAAATATCCTTTATAATTAACACGTTCGCTACCAGGCGTCACATACAGTGTGTCCACCTTAAGGACTTACCACCCCTGTAAAATTGTTATTATCTGACCGATTTCAAAAAACTTTTTTTTATTGGATAGGTATTTGAAATGTCCATCCAACAAGAGAGTGATTTTACTCATGAACTGTAATCGTGGCCAACTGCGACCTACTTTATTGACCCATATTCAAGAAAGTACTATTAGGGATTTTTTTCACAAAAAACAATGATGGATTCTGAATCACGATCAAACGAATAAGGCTAACGGTCCTGATGGAATTCCACCCATTATCCTCAAAAAATGTGCACCAGAATTAACACCGATTCTCTGCAAGTTGTTTACCATCTCGTACAGGTCGGGTATTTTTCCATCATGCTGGAAGACAGCTAGAGTCTAACCAATCCCCAAAAAAGGGAACAAGAACCTGCCCAACAACTACAGGCCCATTGCCCTGTTATCAGTGATCTCCAAAGTGATGGAGGAAGCCATCAATATTGAGCTGATAAAATATCTGGAGAGCTCAGGAATCATCAATGATAGACAATACGGCTTTCGCCACCGAAGATCTACTGGAGATCTACTTGCCTACGTCACCCATTTATGGCAATCTTCAATAGAAAAACACGGGGAATCTCTAGCTGTCGCGTTGGACATATCGAAAGCATTCGACCGTGTTTGGCACGAAGGACTCCTCCACAAACTACCATCATACGGCTTACCACCTCAGCTATGCCATCTCTTATCGAGTTTTCTTTCAGGCAGATCGCTTCACGTGGTGGTGGACGGTGTATCGTCTGATACCATTGGCATCAATTCCGGCGTTCCACAAGGATCAATTTTGGCACCAACATTATTCCTGCTTCATATCAATGATCTGTTGGGAGTAACAACTTGCCCCATCCACAGCTTTGCAGATGATAGTGTAGCATTTAAATTTTTCACACTTTATTTTTATGGATTTCAAAATTTTTGGAATATAGCTTTTCTCAATATTAGTATAGCTTTCAAGTTTTTCACACTTTATATTAGGCTTGAAATGAAATCAAAATATTTTTCGAAATTATTGTATTGTAAATATCAAAGTTCATCAAGGAAACGTCTGAAAATTTCACAAGTTTATTCAGTTCAACCTACCTGGTACATCTAAAAGGTTTAAGAGTAGTACATACGAAACATAGTGATGACAAAATGATTCTTGGTCCATCTCGAGGTTGAATTAGCCAATTTGGTGATGAGAGGATGAATACTTTTCCTAAAATATAGGATTTGTATTATTTACATTATCAAGCAGAGTTGGCAAACTACTCACCAGAACATAACAGGAGTCCAATCTACGATGATGGTTCGCAGGATACCTTTTGGAAATTGGTATAAGGTCTTGTCTCATGTGGGAAATACCTCTTTAGTTCGGTTGGGCCTTTTTCACAAGTTTATTTCCATTGTTTTGCTTTTCATCCCATTTTCAAAAGCAGAGTCCACCTATCCATCACTTGTAGATTGTCATCTCTGTCACCTCTGTCACTCCATCTAAAACTCCTCCCATTTCTCGCACCAAGAATACCAAAATCGAGGTTGCCAGGTTTATTCTTGGAATTCCTAAGAATTTGTTGAATTTGGTAAGAGTAGTGTAGAATCGTGCAAGTGTAGATCATAAATGGTATCACAGGATTGGTCAGTTCAAAGGGAAATTTGCGAAAGTCACTATTTTCTGCTCCTTTTCTATTCTGGTCTTCCAAGACAATAGAACAATGGCGAGAGATCCGGTTCCGGAAAGATGAAAGGTACTTTAGTACGTTATCACGGGCACTTTGGTTCTGGTGTTCGAAGGGATCAGATGTGCTAAGGTGCAACTTCTGCAGTGAGGTAACAGGTTCAGCCTGGATTTTGTATTCCCGCTTCCAAGGGACAGTGGAAACCTCATAGCTGCTACCACCAGGATCTTTCCAGAAACTCCAGCCGTTTGATTTGGTTCCCGGCAAGCCAGAAGTCTCTGTCCAGGATCGACCACGTGGACCTGGGCAATTTTTTTTGATCTCCGGTTGTACCCTTCGAAGAAGGTGAGTCCTATGGAAGTTTATTCCCACTTTTCTCCACCAGAAATCGATTCCAGGCGTGACCGGTATTTTTTTTTTCTTTCAAATAGGGTTTTTTGGGAGGGCATTCAAGCCCACAATTTTTGATCCCGGCATACGATGCTGTACAGTTCAGCCATGTGGTTACTGTACCATGCGGTCCTCCACGAGGTGTCATCATCAGATGTTTCATCGTCAGTAACGTCGTCGACTTCAGCTGCTAGCTTTGGTTACATCCATCAGTCTCAGCAACTCATTGGTTGTCCCGTCCCAGCTCGCATCATCTCTTTCCTGCTAGCTCTACATCTTTCAGCTTCAGCTGCCCTTCTGTCTCCTCCAGCCGCCAGCTTCAGCTGCTAAATTGTCAGCTTCGTCTGTCCGCAGCGTGATGGAAAATATTCTTTAAAAGGGTGGTAATTATTGATCATTCAGGTATAATATATAATAATTTTGTTTTGACCAAATTTCTGTCCCTATGATTTTTATAGGTATATAAATTGATTTTTGATTTATTTTTTTGACCAAGTAGATTGGTGAGATACCAATAAGCAACTTCAAATGCTTATGTAAGCGAAACATAGTACTATGCGGTAGCCCCTAAGAATAGCTGATTTTTTTACTTGTTCGATTATTCATACTAGACATCACCTAGAGACTTATTGGTAACATCAGAATATGCATTTTTTAATTACATGATTTCCTATATTGATCATATTCCCATCCATCAAATGATCATCGATCGATCACATTTTTTGTCAGTAAAATATTATATAATGAGTTTTAAATTGATAATATCTACATCTATCACATGATCAACGATTGATCACATTTTTTGTCTGTAAAACATTATATAATACATATTCATATTGATATTTACATCTATCATAATTATGTGCATCGATTGTTCTCAATAATTTTTTGTCAATAGGATATATCTAAATTTCAGAAACATTTTCACCCATCACGTTGTTGAATATGTGTATATAATATATGTGTCACGTTTATTATGACTTTCATTTATGGTATGATGAACATTCACTAATTTTATAATTCTCAAATATCACTAATATGCAGTCAAATATTCTTTATAAAACTTTTTCTATTTGGTTCCATAACTTTCCAGATAGCTACTTGTGACCCATGGGTCAATAGTTGTGATAATTCAAAAGTTGAGTGGCGCCTAATTTTTTTTATTATTGAGTCA